ACGAGGGGTGAGCAGGAGGGGCATGAGGTGTTGATGATGTTGATTCAAGTGAAGAATCGTTCCCCAGTCGATGGTGGGTTTTCCAGGGCAGCGACGGAGAAACTATGCCCCTGGTTTGTGTTCGGAAAGAACAGTGATGGGAACTCGTCAGCGGGGAAATCTACCGGTGAAATTGGTGGGGATCCGAAACCGCTGAGCTCCACGGATGTCCGTGATACCATTCGCATCTACATGAATGTGCGCGGTAGAACGCGTGACGGCAAGTTCATCTATGCCACGACAATGAAAGACAATCTTAAGCCCAAGAAGAAAGGCAACGCCTCTGAGGTGAAGGAGGAGAGTCAGACGATCGGGAGTCAGGCGAAGAAGCGGGCGAAGATCGAGAGCAATCCTGGCGTCTCAAGTGTGTCGAGTGTCTCGGAGGAGGATCCTGTTTTCACGATCTGCCTCCGTTTACTCAACAGGGTCACCTACCCGTTCCTGAGCGAGGACGTGGCTTCCATTCTATCAAACATGGTGGAGTCTCAGTATGACCCGCTGGGGCTTGTGGAGGGCGACCTGGACTATCGCGATGAAGATGAAAAACGAAACAAGAACGTTAGTTCGTATGCAAAGTTGTCGCTTACCGCGACGCGCGACAAGTTGTTGCAGAACGCCCGTAAAGCACTAGCGTACGCGCCGGGTGACAAGGAAGAAGAGTGACGCTGAGAGTGACGTTGGTGGCAGTGGTGAGGGCCACTAGGCGATCAAGGTGGCGAGACAGAAACATCCAAGAAACGAGCACGTGAAAACCAAGAGGGTGAAGAAGGCCGTCCCACTAAACGCGCCAAGTGATCCAACAAGACGCCCAAGCCCACACGGAGGCAGTAACAGTACGTGCCTGGTGCCTGCAGCAACTAGTTTTAACTACCAACAATTTGTTTTACTTGAGAGTACGCAGCCACCTCCAGTACGCTTCACCTTGCAGTCTTACGGATGTAGCACGTCTTTTGCTGTCTACGTCGTCTTTACTGCTCTACCTACTCGTCCTGCAGGAACGGGTATTATAGTCCATGTACCCGCGCGCGTCGCCGAGGTAGAACGTGTCCGTGTCGTAGTCGTTCACGGGCTTGTTGAGTTGGAAAGCGC